AATACCTTATATATATATATATATATATATATATACGTGTGTAATTTAAAATGTATAATTAAGATACTTAAAAAATTAAATTTGTTTAATTAAAATTCCAGGAACCAAAATAAAATAATTAGGATATGAATTAAAATTGTTCAATTAGAACTTTAACTACTGAAATTTTATAATTATAACTCTAAAAGAATAAAAAACGTAATTCAACTTTTTTTTTCTTATGTTTTTTGGCCCTTTGTTTAATAGATTCCCCCCTTATTTTTATAGGGATCATAATGGTAAAAAAAAATGATCTCCAAATCTTCAAATGATTTATTTTGGTAAATTTAAATATTAACTAGTACTTTAGTCTATGCAATGAACATGCATATTTATTATATAATTAAATTTTATAATAAATTAAATATAAATAAATATTATACTTAAATACATAAATTATATTTAAAATATGTATAATATTAAATAGATATTTTAAAACATATAACTAATATTTTAGATTTATGGCAAATAATTTATATTGTAACATAAAATTATTTTATTTTTGAATAATTTATTTAAAATATTAATTTCTATTCAAGAATGGTTATGATAAATAATAATCAAATTAGATAAAAATTTTAAAAATCTCTACAAATCCTAGAAAGCCCCTAAAAATACTTTCACAAGATAAAAATTCATATTTAATATATAAGAGTTTATATTTTTATTAAATCATTATCCAATTTAAGACTTATTGTTTATTATTGCGCACCATACAATAAGTTTTTATTTATTTATTTTTATTTCAAGATTGTTGAGATAAAAACATTTTTTTTTGTCATATCTAATGATTTTATTTTGACAATATAAAATATGTACACATGATCTAATTTAATTTACAAGAGGACTTGAGCTGGTTAGGATTTAAGATTGAATTTCATATTTTTCAATGTAAATTTATGTTGAAGATAAGATAGATAATTTATAATTTCACTTAAAGTTTTAAAAGAGATTAATAATTGACTCTAATATTATATGAGGTTGTTATTCATCTTAAATCAAAATTTTTATGTAAAAAAGACTCTAGAATATATATATATATATATATATATATATATACAAGGTCCAAATCCGTCTAGAATCAAAGTGTACAAAATACATCCAGCAAATGCTAACTAAGTAGCTAAATACATCAAAAGAATAAAACTACATCTGTCAGCTGCACACCTTAATAGGATCATCCCAAACACAGCTAACGCTAGAGTCTTGTTGAAAGCTAACCAATCTCCCTCACCAGCCAAGGAAGAAAGGTGGTCCTCAATCATAGCAAGCTTCCAACCTTTAATACTGCCGTTCCCCACTAAGGCAGCTGATCGTGATGGTAATTTGACCTGAGTGGCAACTCTCTCCACGGCCACATGGTTGTCATGAAAGATATAGACCCCGGCTGATTTGGGCCATCGTAGCATGAGCTCGTACTCCTCGAGAGTAGGAACTAGATCAAACTGGGGGAACTCGAAGCAGTGCAAATCGAGACTCCAGAAGTGAACCAGTGCTCTCAGAAATGCTGGATCCACACAGATCTTCATCAAGTCGAGGACTCGTCCATATGATTTCTCAAACTTGACGCGAGCCTCTCTTGGCATCAAAGTACAGAGGTGATCCAACCTCTCAGCACGGTATAACAAGAAGTCTACTTTCTTCAATTGCCCATGCATCTCCTTAGACCTCTCCATATTCTACAATACAATGCATGATATGAGATGATGGAGATGAATATGCATGCATAGTGTTTATTCAACTAAGCATTATCATGTTTTGGGATTTTCCTAAGATGATGCATGATATTGCTTGGTTTAGATAAATATATATATATATATATATATTTTTTTTTGGAAAAAACTTGGATTTTTGCAAACTTTGATCATGCAAACTCAATTTTGTAAATTATTATTATTAGGTAATATACAATTCATTATAAAATTGTGATAACAAACATAAAGTTATAAAAATTATAAAAAGAATTTTATAAAATTTAATAAATTGATTATCATGTTTTATAAAGTAAAAATTATTTAATAATTTAACCGATTAATTTAATTAGAATATATACTTGTTATAATTACTTTCAATTACTATAATTAGAGATAATAATGTGTTTTTACAAATTATGAATTAAACAGATAAAAATATGAGTACGATGATACATGATTGATATATATATATATTAAGTTTAATAATATTAATGTGACAACTAATAAGAGAGTTTTAAAGATAAAGTCGCGTGTAACTGATATTTTTTTAATGTAACATATGTAAAATTTTAATTTTAATTTAAAATATTTAATATTGTATACAAATATATTTATATTTATTATTGAATTTTTTTCCTTTCCCATTTATCTATAACTTAAAAAGGGAAAAAAAGTTGTCTTGAATTTGATAAATTGATTTTTTGTAATTTTTAATTTTGATTTGATCACACACGGTTTATCTACAAATTTAATGGATCAAATGCAAGTTAATTTGTTTTGGGCCTTTTTATTTTGTAAAATAGATCCGTTAAAAATGCAATTTCATGATTGGCAAGCAAATTCTTATACTCATTCTTATAATTAAAGGATAAAACAAATTTAACAAAATAAATAAGTTAATTCCAAATTTTTAAATAAAGATTAATCATTATGAAACTGACAAACACTTAATACCAATAACATATTTATAAAGAAAATTGGGTTAATTATATTTGAGAGAATTAAAAAAATATGAACACCTAACCATTATGTATTATTATAGATAATTTAAATTAAAAAGTAATATATTTAATTAAAAAACAATAGATGGATACCATTTAAAGTTGTTTTATGATATTTTTGGAACCCAATTTCTGATAATTTATTATATTGATTTGTTTGGATTTTTGGGATGGAAAAGCAAATCCCCTGGCGCCACCTGTTTGGAAAAAGAAGCGCGAAGACGAAGAATTGAAAACGCCGCTCACAACACAACATTTCAAAGCGAATTCCCGCCACACCCTCCTCTATTAAAAAAGCGCGCTCTCACTCTCCATTCTCCAAAGCTTGCCCTACACACTTTCTTCCAATGGCCGCCAAATCAGTCACTCACGACGCCGTTTCCACGCTCATCGCAAACCCTTCCCCCAATTCTTCATCCGTTTTCCCCGAGATCGTCGTTCAAGTCCTCGATCTCAAGCCCAGCGGCAACAGATACATGTTTGTTTTCTCCTACCCTGCCCTTCCGTTACGGTTACGGTTTCTTTTCCCCGATTCAGATCTCTAACTGACTGCGCCGTTTTCTTGTTTTCGCATGTGTAGGTTTAATGCTAGTGATGGAAAAATGAAGCTCAGGGCGATTCTTCCCTCGAATGTTTCCTCCGAGGTGCACTCCGGGAATATTCAAAACCTAGGGCTTATTCGTATTCTTGATTACACTGTCAACGATATCCCCAATAAATCAGAGAAGTAAGACCTAGTTTCGTTCTGCCTAATGCTTTGTGTACATGCTTTCTTGGCCGATTTATGACATTTGTTTTTTTGTTGGTGGTGTAGATACCTTATTGTCACGAGCTGTGAAACGGTATCTCCCGCGCTTGAAATGGAGATAAAAAGTGAGGGATCCGAGGAAGGTGTAGTGAAGAGTGAAGGTGCTGCTGGGATTCTTCTGAAGCCGAAGCAGGAAGTGGTGACGAAATCTGCTGTTCAGATTCTACACGAGCAACGTGGAAAGTGAGTTTTTTTTTTTTTGTGACTTTGATTTCTGGAATTTAAGGGTTTTTAATTCCTATGAGGTAATGTTTTTTCATTTCTTTTTATTTGTCTCTTATTTTTTCATTTTATATTTTTTAGTTCGGCTCCTACGGCAAGGATGGCCATGACGCGTAGGGTGCGTCCTCTTGTTTCGTTGAACCCTTATCAGGGCAATTGGACAATAAAGGTTAGCGTTACGAGCAAAGGGAACATGCGTACCTATAGGAATGCTAGAGGGGAAGGTTGTGTCTTCAATGTCGAATTGACGGACGAGGATGTAAGAGTTATTTTCTATTTGTTTGTAATTTGGATGTAGTCTTCAATGTTAGGTGCGGGGCTTGATTTTTTTCCCCTCTTGTTTGATTTGGTTTTCTAGGGTACACAGATTCAGGCAACTATGTTTAATGATGCTGCGAGGAAGTTTTATGACAAATTTGTTCTGGGAAAGGTTTACTACATTTCAAAGGGGACTTTGAAAGTTGCTAACAAACAGTTCAAAACTGTGCAAAACGAGTATGAAATGACTCTAAATGAGAATTCTGAGGTGGAAGAGGTAGCTGGCGAAGCGAGTTTTGTTCCAGAAACGAAATTCAACTTTGTCCAGATTGATCAGCTGGGTCCTTTTGTCAACAAGTTAGAACTCGTGGGTGAGTTGTTTAGAACATGCGCTAATCGTTCTGGTTTTTTCACTTGCTGTTCTTTTATTGATCGTATCTGCTATAATCTCAGATGTTGTTGGAGTTGTTAAGAATGTGTCTTCAACAATGAGTATTCGTAGGAAGAGTGACAATGAGAGTATTCCAAAGCGTGACATTACTATTGCTGATGAAACGTGAGTAACAGCTGCTTCTGACTTTAAATGATTAGCTTTTGTTCTTTGTTTCGATTTTGTCCGAACCCTCAAATATCCATGCTTGACATTTCAGGAAGAAGACAGTAGTTGTGTCCTTGTGGAATGATCTTGCAACTAAGATAGGACAAGAGTTGCTAGACATTGCTGACAATTCTCCAATTGTTGCAATCAAATCTCTAAGGGTTGGGGACTTCCAAGGTAAGCCGAGGTTTACACTTTGATAAGTATTGCCTGCCAAAGGTACAAGAGGGGATCATAAATTGATCTTTCTTGAATGTTTCAGGGGTTTCTTTGTCGACTATAAGCAGAAGTGTGGTTCTAATAAATCCGGACATACCTGAAGCAAGGAAGCTCAGATCCTGGTATGTCAATGTCCACTAGGCTACTGTCTCATTGTTATGATTTTTATGATAATCATATTTATATGCTTGTCTGGGCCACAGGTATGACCTTGAGGGTAAGGATGCTGCAATGGACTCTGTTGGCTCTGGTTCAAGTCCAACGTCTAACAATGGATCTAGATCAGTGTACTCTGATCGTGTTTCTCTTTCTCACATAACTTCTGACCCATCATTGGGGGATGTCAAGGTATAGTTGCTAATTTTCCTACAAAGATGGTTCCGTCTTGTTGTTTGATATGAACATTCAACGTGCACATTATAGGAATTATTGCAAGTTTGAATGGATTCTCTGGAGTCATTATTCTAAATTATAGTCTCTTGTGTTGCTTTGGGCAGCCTGCATTTTTCAGTATTAGAGGATATATAAGCTTCATAAAGCCTGATCAGGCGATGTGGTATCGTGCCTGTAAGACGTGCAACAAGAAAGTTACTGAAAGCATTGGTTCCGGATATTGGTGCGAAGGGTGCCAGAAAAACGATGAACAGTGCAGTTTAAGGTAACATTTATCACTGATTAACTTATAATCTTAAATTTTCTAGATCATACTAGTATTTATAAATTTCACTTTGTCCCTAGGTATATAATGGTTGCCAAAGTTTCGGATGCAAGTGGTGAAGCTTTTGTCTCCGTCTTTAATGAGGAAGCTGAGAAGATCGTTGGATGCTCTGCTGAGGAGCTAGATGACCTTAGATCACAAGTAACATCAGTTACCCGTGAGCTAAATTCTTTGAGCACGATGGTAAAATGTTATTTTAATATTAAGTGTGTTATTTATTTCAGGAAGGAGAAGATAATCCTTATCAGCTGAAACTGAAGCAAGCTACTTGGGTTCCACATCTTTTCCGTGTTAGTGTTACTCAGAACGAGTATAATAACGAAAAGCGACAAAGGATAACAGCTCGGGCAGTTGTTCCTGTTGACTTCGCTGCTGAGGCAAGGATTATGCTGGAAGAAATATCGAAGATGAGAGTATAAGATAGATACGCTGATTTGCAGTTTCGAAATCTTTTGGTTAAATATTTGAGTTATGTTACTGGTTGTAATTATTAATTCCCTAGGTGGTTTATAATATACTTTTTGCTGAATTAGAGAAATATGCTCCAGAATTTCCTAGTGATTCACATGTTGGTGAATTTTCATTTGCCATTCTTGATTCCTTAAATTCTTTAATATTGAAGAGTTGTGATGAATGAATCGCGTTCTTCCTATGTTTGGGTTAAGTGTTTCTTTCAAGATCATAATATAATAGTTGAAATTTGTTAATAATGATGCACTATTTAAACACTTCCAGAAATTTTGGGTATAATTTTAAAAAGGAAAATTTAACTTTCTGATAATAGATAAAATTTTCGATTATGATTATATGTTAATCGTTTATTTTCTTTATTTAATCTATAGTACAAGGTATTTAAATATAAATTTATTATTGTAAATAATTTGATCCTTTAAATGTTTTTATTACGGAGAAGTGAATTTAGTCAATTTAACTGAATAGATTAATTTTTAAAGCAACATTTTTCACTTAACCTGTTTAAAATTTAAACACAGGGCAGATAGAGGTGAAAAAGGTGGGAGGGGGATCAAAAAGTTGAATTTGAAGACAAAAGGATGGTTTAATCTTATGCCTCCGATAATTGATCTTATGCCTCCGATAATTGGAGAAGAAACAAACAAGTATTGGATGGAATGTGATTAATGCAATCCACCAGGTTCATTTCATTTCTTTTCATCTATCAACAACACCTTGCAAGATGATTTTATGAACAATCACTAACCAGACCTTGTTTGGCATGATCCGTGTTTCATGGCTAAAATTATGTTAGGAAACTGTATTTCACATGATTCATGTTTCATGGCTAAAATTATGCACATGTTTGAACTTTTATTTGCAACCTCCAAACCATTGATTGCTAAAGCTTGTCTCTTGTAAACTTTGCCCAAACTACGGTGATGAGGATTGAAAACAAACTGTACATCAACTCCAATTTTGTTGATTCCGCTTCCACAATTGATACTAGGGCTGGACATCCGACTCCAAAATAGTTAGCAAGAGAATAATCATACAACTCCATTAAGTTAGTCTGGTAGGTTTCTCCTCTTTGAAGACCATAAATAACGTCAATTTAAAAGGATAGAAAGAATTAAATACATTTTTTTAAAAAATTATTTAAAACAAAGTAGATTATAATACAAAGATGAAAGTGAAAGAAAAGAAAATAAAGAAATGATTAAGTTTTATAGCAAAACAAAACACGAACGAATTCAAGTGAAATTGAATATGGAGAGACTTCAAAGTTCACAACTGAAGCAAAAGATCACAAACATGCAACGTCCCAGTGCTTTATATTTTAACGTTGGTCTGTGTTATTTTCAACCAGTAACAATAAAAATAAAGTATTAGTAAGATAAAAAGGTGGTTAGTACTTAACGCTCCCTCTCCCCTCCTCCGGTAGCCTCTAGAACAGAAATTAACAAACATTTCCATGTTATTTCGGATGGAGTGACAAAGACATTTTTTTAAAATAAGGAACAACTAGAAACTAGATTTTTCTTGTTTCTCCTCCGCTGGTGAGGCCCCATGGTAGAGATGTCCATTTGACGTTCCCTCTCCTCTTGCAAATTAAGTGAATTGTCCCACGAAGAATCTATTAAGATCTACTTTATGAGGTGTGTCAAGAACATGCAATCTTGTTATCCAACCACTTGACAAAAATTAACATGCATATTCCTATCACTTTATATGGAACAAAGAGTGACATTTTTGAAAACAAGGAGTAACTAGAGACTAGATTTTTCTTGTTTCTCTTCCATTGAAACTTGTCCATGATTTTGACCATCCAGACTTTAATCAAAGGTAAAAACAATCATTTAGTTTTTATTAAAATTTTGACATTATTATTAAATAATATATTATTTCATCTACACCATCAACTACATCTTACAATAAATATATACTGATTCACTCTTGATTCATTCTAAATATCGTCAATTTTAAGATATATATAAGATTAGTTTAAAATAAAAAGAGTGAAATGAATTTTAAGCAAAAATTATGTAAGATAAGAAGACAATGCAATAAAATTCATTACTAAAAGAAAGTAAAGGAAATAATTAGGTTTTATTAAAGGTTCATCACAAATATTATATTTAAGTCTGTGACTCATCTAAATCTTGAGATTTAAACTCTTTTGTGACTTATCTAAGCCCTAAATCTTAAATTCATTTGTGACTCTTTTGAGTTAAAGACTCTTCGAAAAATTTATACGTTTTTGGACGAGAAGAGAATGCAAATGATTTCAAAGATGAAAGGGAAAGAAAAAAAGCAAAAGAAATAGTTAAATTTTATTTAGGAAGAAAAAAAATGAAGGATTCAAGTTCAAAGTTTACACAAACTGGTAAGAGTAAGTGAAAGAAGAAGAAGGTGGACAGGCTAAGCAGGTTACCGAACTAAATCATCCACGTGCTTCCCTTTGTGGACGCAGTTTCAGCTGTTCAAACTAGCGTTTTGAGTAAGCAATGGAAGAAGCTTTGGACTTCCCTCCCCGTCCTCAACTTCAACTCTTTCTCCTTCCACCACCCTCTCCTCTTCCACTCTTTCATCCACCACTTCATGTCCCACAGAGACTCTTCCACCAACCTCTACGCTCTCAACTTCTCCTGCAACGATGAACTCGACGATGGCCATATGGTTGATTCCATCATTGACCATCTCACCCTCTCACCCACCATTCAGCTTCTCACCATCTCCGCTGAATGCCCCGTGGCCAACCTTCCTCAACTCTCTTTGTGTCAATCCCTCACCACCCTCAAGCTCGCCGACATATCCACCGAGGCCACAACGTTTGACTTTGTTTCTCTTCAACGATTCTACCTTTTTGATTGTTGGTTCGAGTGTGGGGCAGAGAAGACACTTGATCTTTTCAGGGGTTGTGTTAATCTCAGATGATTGTGTCTGCATGATTGTCAGTACTATGGCAGTGTTAAAAGCTTCAAAATCTCCGCGCCCCATCTTGTGGATTTGAGTTTCTTGGGGATGAGAGTGGATGATGTGTTTGATTCCGACTGTGTTATTGAGCTTTTCACACCAAGGCTTCAATCTTTTAGCTTCCTAGACTCTCATCTTTATAAGTTTTCTGCAACGGTGAATCTTTCCCAAGTAGAAAAAGTGGATATTGTTATAAACTGTTTGACTAAAGATACTGATCTTTCTGTCCGGCTGATTAAATTTTTTCTAAGTGATGGGACGTGCAAAGTTTGTAACTTTATCTCTTGGTGTCATTAAAATAAGCATATTTTGTTTCAATCTGGTATTTTATTTAATACTTCTGTATTTTGATCTAAATTTTTGTTTATCTTGAATATTTATTTGCTAGGTTCTGCATATGTTTTCTGATGTGTTGAGTGGTTGGACTTCTCCTTTCACTAGAGTGGTGAGTTTTAAGTTAAACATGGGCAGACCTCCTTCCTCCTATGTTATACATTCCATTGTCATGGCCTACTTATTTGGTGGATCTCCTGAAATGAGAGGGTATGGAAAGGGTCTATAAAAAAATTCTCTTTTGATTTTCTTTTACCACTTATTATAAATGCAGAACATTGATATACCGATTAATTGTCATGTTGAATGCAAATATTTTTAAGGTCGAAATTACTTGATATGCAATAAGTCAACTGTTTGGTGTTTAAGAAAATTCAACGAACTAAGATACTTTATCCAACTAAGGCCACATTTATAAACCCTTGGTGTCGTCTATATCACATAAGATTCAACAATGTTTTAAGTTGCTATTGGACTTCCTCACACATGACACATCTCTTGGGGCTGAATATGTAAAGCTTTGTGAAAATGGATAGGTTTTATAAGAGAAGGCTAGAGGAATATCTAGCGAGAAAAGTCTATCAAATATAAAATTTATTGTGTGCTAAAAATGGTGGAAGAAGGCCTAAGGTTATCTAATGGAATGTAATCCTTTTTACTTTATTCCATCCTGTCACCATCCTTGAATCTAGTTGAATTTTATAGAGAAAAGGGCTATATATCATTATTACCTATAAAGCTCAAACATCTCTGCAAAATGCCTTATCAACATGTCTGACACGTTTTTGAACATAACACTTGTTATATACATCTTGAACGCGTGTCCGACATCTTTCTACTATGTCAATATTTTTTTTGGGCTCGAATTCATCTCTGATATATCTTGAACACCTTCATGACATAACTTGGACACGAGCAAAGAGTGTGAGTCATCTCAAGCTCTTGGCTAAAAACTTCTGTGACACACGCATGCACTGTCCCAATGTGCTATATTTTTGACATTAGATGTATCCCTGTCCCAGTGTCCATGTCAGACTGGTGCTTTCTATTGATTGCTGTTAAAATTCGTAATCGTCTAATTTTAGCCCATGTAATGAACTGATATGGATCACAGAGTAGCATTCTTCATAAGGCCTTGAGAGAGAATGTTATGGTATATTTTTTGGCTGCATTGAAATTGATTACAGATCTTTTCTTTTTACATTACAGGTGCTTAGAGTAAAAACAAATTTGATAAATGATGGCTTGCGCCTAACTGCCACCGTTTTACTTATAAGAGGATAAAGAGATGTTTTGCTTGGGTATAAAGTACTTGTATTTTCTGCTAAGAAGTATGTACCAACGTTCTTATTCTGATGTCATATTTGTTAAATATGGTTATTTTGCAATCATTTAGGCTCTTGCTGTAATAGTCTGTCACTGGAGTGTTTGTTTGCCTTTTTTTTTTTTTTTTTTTTGTAAATATGGAATCTCAATTATCAATTAGCTTAAAAGTACAAGTGAAAATGGTAAACGGATTGTCTTATAACATTAAATTCTGAACTTATTTCTGTGTAAAATGGGACAAACTCCAGAGTTTTCTTGATTACTGCTTATTATCACCTCTATTATATAAGTGATGAACCTTTATTTGGAGACTGAGGTGTTCACTCTCCATACTTCCTTTACTGTTGTTTCTCAACTTCTTTCCTATATTCTCTTTTAGCCGTGATATTCACGTGCTTAACTTTCAAAAGTGGTAATGCTTAAATGGTGAAACTTGTTGTGATGTTAGCATTTTATTGTCAAGATTGCAACTCCTTTTGCACCGGCAGCAATCGAGGACCTTGGCTTATAATAGCTCTTACTCTTAATGTTAGTGTTTTTGGCTTTGGTTTTTGTTTGAGAAGCCTGAAACAATTGATTGACGGAACTATCATTTTCTTCTTTTGTTTGCACCGAGGATATCTACTAACCAATAGTCTGAATTTGTTTCTGTTCGTAATGTAGAGATCATCGAAATGAGTTGTGTTGATTAATAAAATCTAAAATCTTTTTCATATGCATGGACAGACATCAAATCCCTCACAACATACTTAAGAAATTCAGTTATGAACTAATTGTGCAGGACTTTGTTGGTAGAACAATCATATTTTTAGTGTTAATATAATTTGTTTTTGGTGATTTTGTGAGTCAATAGGGATAAGCTCTGATGATACTGCGGTTTTACGTTCTACTGAATGTTTGAGCGATGTTTGAACCATCTGATAAATTTAAACTGGTAAAATAGGGTATTGTTGACAAATTGCATTGTGAATGGTTGAAACCTTTTCAGACATTTCCACTGCAGCAGCATGTTTCTTTGTATACCAGCACATGCTTAAATTTCAGTTTGATCTTGGACATAATTTAATGCGGGATTTTAGTTTGATCTTGAGATTTCAGTTTGCTGAGTTTTCAGGTTGATCTTGGATATTAGTTAGCAGGTTTTTTATTTTTATTTTTATTTTAATAAATAGAAAAATGTTCCACACTAAAAACTTTTTAAGATTCAGGATATAGGCAGGTCAAAATGTTGACACGTAGGTTGGGCATTATCGTGAAAGTAAGTTAAAAACTATTTCAATGTTTATTTTAAAATTTGTTTATATTTAAAAATCCAAAAAATGCAACCATGTACATATGTCCTAAATCTTTTAAAACAAGTGAAGGAAATGTTGGGGACATTTTTCTAATATTTTTTATTATTAATTAAAATTTATTGAAAATAATAAAATTTTTGTGGGTATCAAATTATTTAACGAATCTATCTTGATATATTGACAAAAATTTATAATATTTGTAATTTTTAATTAATATCTATGAAAGTATTATTAAGATAAAAAAAGTCTTGCTAATATTTCTTTTAAGGAACAAATGGTTCACTAGTGGAGAAATGTATATGAAATATTATTTTTTTAAAATTTATTTTTAAAATTGTTTCAAATTACTCATCAGTCTGTTTTAAAATATTTGACTAAGATCTTTTTGACTAAATATAATAATATATACAAGTATATATATAATGTTTATCATATATAAACAGATTAAACTGAATCACATGTAATATCCTCTATATATATATATAATATTAACAAGTACTTTAAACCCATTATGTATGATGTGATTACTTTTTGCTTGTCCTTTGATAAAATTTAAAGTGTAGGGATTTGAATATTTAGTTTTTAATAAGCATAAAAATAATTAAAAGTTATTTTCAGTTTATAATGAAGGGTAAAAATAATAAGTTAGTTTTTAATAATAAATTAATTAACAAGTTATTTCGGTAGCTAATATAATTTATATTATTGATTATGTCTTATGATAATAATATATTAATTTAGTTATGAACCATTAATAATAGGTTTTGTCTCTTTTAAGACTATAGATAAAATTAATTTAAAAGAAAAGAAAGAGTAAAATGCATTTTTGGAAAAATTTAATAAAGCAAAAAAGATTGCAATACAAAGGAAAAAGTGAAAAAAAATAAATAATTTTTTTTAGCTCTTATAACACAACAAGACACAAACTAAACCTTGAATAAAAGTAAGAAGAAGAAAAAATGGTGTAAAATCTAAAGCTTAAAAGTAAGAGAAAGGAAACAAGGGTGTACAAACTAAACTTTAAAAGACTTATGTTGAACTGATTTCTAATATTTTGACATTAGCATGTGTTATTTTCAATCAATAGCAAAAAATAAAAATAAAAATAAAATAATATAATAAATAGTATTTTTAATATTATATCTTTTTTCATCTCATCTTACAATTTTGAAAGTAAAGCGTGAATATAAATTAAAATTTTCTTGTTTTTTCTTCTTTTAAATTTTTTGTCTAATTTTGACTATTCAATTTTTAATGAAAGTAAAAATGATCATTTAATTTTTAATAAAATTTTGATATTAGTTTTAATTAATATATTATTTTAATATATAGTACGATTTACAATATTGATTATATCTAACAATAATATAATATTGATTAATTTGCAAATTACTTGACCTAATTTATATAATTTATTTTAAGACTATAGACAGGACTAATTTTATAGAAAAGAAAGAGTGAAATGAATTTTTAGGACTAATTTATTTTAAGATAAATTTATTTTAAGACTAATTGACTCATTTGTAACTCATTTGAATTTTAATTTCAAAATTCACATGTGACTCATCTGAACTCTAAATCCTAAACTCACTTGTGACTCATCTGACTTAGAGGTTCATCACAAGTATTACATCTGTGAGTCATCTGAACCTAAAACCCTAAATTCACTCATGACTTATCTGAACCCTAAATCCTAAACTCATCTCAGACTCATTTCATTTAAAGATTCATCACAAGTATTACATCTGTGAGTCATCTGAACCCTAAACTCTAAAGTATAAACTTACTCATGACTTATCTGAACCCTAAATTCTAAACTCATTTGTGCCTCATTTGATTTAAAGGTTCATCACAAATATTATATCTGAGTCTCTGACTCATCTAAATCCTGAGACTTGAACTCTTCTGTGACTTATCTGAACCCTAAATCTTAAACTCATTTGTGACTCTTCTGAGTTAAAGACTGTTCGAAAAATTTGTTCATTTTAAGACGAGAAGAGAATGCAAATGATTTCAAAGATGAAAGGGAAAGAAAAAAAAGCAAAAAAAATAGTTAAATTTTATTTAGCAAGAAAAAAGATGAAGGCTTCAAGTTTGAAGTTCACCACCAAGGCAAACAGCAATGAGAGTAAGTGGAAGAAAAAGAAGGTAGACAGGCTAAGCAGGTTACCGGACGAAATCATCCACCGTGTGCTTTCCTTTGTGGACGCAGTTTCAGCTGTTCAGACGAGCGTTTTGAGTAAGCAATGGAAGAAGCTTTGGACTTCCCTCCCCGTCCTCAACTTCAACTCTTCCTCCTTCTACCACCCTCTCCTCTTCCACTCTTTCATCCACCACTTCATGTCCCACAGAGACTCTTCCACCAACCTCTACGCCCTCAACTTCTCCTGCAATGATGAACTCGACGATGGCCACATGGTTGAATCCATCATTGACCATCTCACCCACTCACCCACCATTCAGCTTCTCACCATCTCCGCCGAATGCCCCGTGGCCAACCTTTTGACTTTCGTAGAATGGCCACTATTCTTTTTACTAACTTTATGTTTCACATTCAAAATTCCTTTCCCTTCTTCATGGTTCCATTTGGTGGTAAAACCCTTTGCCATATTAATTCCATTCTCAGCCTTTACCACATTCGACCTCGAGAGTACTCCTCTAGACACCATCTTCCTTCCATGAAGAAACTTCGTTCTTTGATCTGTCTCAGCAAAACCATGATAAATCTGCTGTAGCAAATTATTGCAACATTATTCAGCCACTTTTTGAATGATTTCATAACATGTAATATAAATAATGTATGTGGGGACACACATATATTCTTACCTCTACGTTCACTGGACTTCTTGCCGTTTCATGCTTGGAAACCACCAGTTTCTTCTTACCTGAACAATCAAGTTTTACAAAAGGTTAAGGCAATTTTTGAAACAAAAACAAAGGTGAGTCTGAGAAGAGAAAGAAAAGAGACGAGGAAGTGAAAAGGTAGTGAACCTTGGTGTGCGGTGGAGAATCTTAGAGGGAGCAAAATGAAAAGTAGGAGAAAGGTGGTGGACCTTGCCGACACCATTATTGCGAATCGAATAAGGTAAGGGTATGTCGTTGAACAAAAAGAGGAGAGGAATCCTGCGGAAGAGAAGTGGGTCTTTCTTTATAGGGTCCAATTCCATGACATAGCAAACCTCTCTTGGGGCTTTATGAGCAAATTAAAGAATGATTTTTATATATGGAGCCATGGAGGCAATTTCAGAGAGTGGTTGCTTGGGAAAAGCAATTAGCGAGAACAACGTTGAAAACGGTTTTGTTTGCGGGTTGAAGTCAAAGTGTAGAAGAAAAAAGCGTATGATCGCGTGAAATGGAAGATACAAGTTGTTCAGCGCTTGTCGGCCGTCATGCATGCAACGAGGAGAACTTGTTTGGTCCATCTTCCATCGTATTCATAGGCTCCACTTCCTATGAAACAGTTCATATGGCTGTACTTTGAAAACGCATTTTTGCTAATTCCTTTAACCAAGCTTTGTTCGTATTAATTTATTATGATTTAGCAGTACTTGATTTCATAGCTTAAGCTTTAAACAATTAAATAAAAGTGAGTGGGGATGGGAGAAATACATTAGGGCACGCTTTGTGGTAGACTGTGTATAATGTGCATTATATATATATAATAAAGGCAGTTAGTTTAGACTTACAGTTGTATCTCATTCTTCGGGTATAGCTTGCTTTTAGCTTAGCCTTATTTTTGACCGAGATTAGAGGGTACTTCGAAAGAAGTGTTTCGGTTTGACCATTACGATTAGCGAGTAATAATCTAATGTAATTAACATTATTTTATTCTAAATATAAATTCTATACTGATAGTGCAGCTCTTTATTAGAAATACATGGCATAACAAGTTTGTGAGAGGCGTTCCAAAAACTATTTATAAAAGGTGAACATTTCCTCCTATCACAAGTTTGTTTTACGAAGGTCTATTATATTGTGTGAGGGGGTCACGGAATGGTGAAGGTTTTCAAGGTTGTCCATAGATTTATAACTAAGGCACTTTATCAAATTTGTCTACAAAAATTGTGACGAAAGGAATTTCATTCAAAATTCCTTTCCCTTCTTCATGGTTCCATTTGGTGGTAAAACCCTTTGCCATATTAATTCCATTCTCAGCCTTTACCACATTCGACCTCGAGAGTACTCCTAGTGATAAACAAAATTGACGTATAACATTAGATGTCTAACCTTAAATCTGTGTAAAATGGGACAAGCTCCAGAGTTTTCTTGTTACAGCTTATTATCCCCTTTATTTGGAGACAGAAACGTTCACTCTCCCCACTTTCTCTATTTTTCATTCTTAGTTTCTTCTCTCTATTCTCCTTTAGCCATGATATTCACGTGCTTAACTTGCTATGCTTAAGTGGTGGATATTTGTTGTGAAGTTAGCATATTAGTGTCAAGATTGCAACTACTTTTGTACTGGCAGCAATCAACGACATTGCCTTACAATAGCTCTTAATGATAGTGTTATTGGCTTTGCTTTTTGTTTGAGATGCTTGAAACAACTGATTGACTGCACAATATTTATTTTTTTGCACCAACTATATAAAAAAAATTAGTTTAATATTTTTTATTGTTTTATATTATTATTTTTATTATCGGTTATGAATCCTAGTTATTTGATTTATATAAATATTTTTATAATAAAGAATGAGATAGAATATTAAAAATTGAATATTTATTTTATTTGATTTTTCATCCGATGACTATATTTATTATATCTTTTAAAAATCCAAAATAACTAGTTATAGTGGACATATAGAAGCTAGATGAAATATTTTCTTTTTATACACATGTTTATAAAACACTTTCCTAAATTTCCATTTTTAGGAAAAAAAAAAAAATAAGCAAAAATACTACTTGAAATATACAATTGAAAATGGAAGATTCATCAATAAATTACTAAAGACAATCAAATAAGAAATGTTTTGCTTAAGACTAAAGTAATAATGAATTTGTGTTTTCTACAATACAGAATGCGACAAAGTATAAAAAAAGAGTTGATTTATTATTCTTAATCTAACATCATATTTGCTACTAATGGTTATTTTGCAATTTTTTAGGTTCTTTGATAGAAACTAAGGTAGAGATGGTTAACAATTTTCTCCTCTTATTTCCTTGTTCCTTCAAGCTCTTTCCATGAATCCAAAACTGAAAATAAATTCATAAAAGGGATTTAGAAGTTAATGTCTGTAAGTCTTGATGAGAGATAAGTTATAAAAAATGTTCTTTTTACAAGGAGGATTTTCTTAATGAAAGAATGTTATGAAATAAATTGTCTTTAGAGATAAATAATATTTTTTTAATCTGGGACCATAATAGAATAAATAATATTTTATCAAAGAGGTTCTTTTAATTTTTGTAATTAGGTCTCTGGGACCATAATAGAATAAATAATATTTTATCACAAAAGTAATAATTTGTAAAAGAATCATTAACCTCATTGACTTAATTATAAAAATTAGAAGAAACTTTAAAATAAAGTTAAAACTATTCCGAAGTTTTGTTTTAAGAATTCAAAATTTGTAACCATTCAAATATCTTCTGAACCTTTTTTAAAAAGCCTATTTAAGACAAAGAGAAGTATTATTCTTATTCTAACACTCCTTTTTTAATATTATTTATTATTGACTATAATTTATTAAAAATTAAAAAATGATAAATTGTTTGAGTCTTGTATCATTTAAAGAGTCTATCTTGATTTTGTGATAAAACTTATTTTAATTTTTTTGAAGTAAAAGTGGTAGATAAGAAAAATTACTCCTAATGGTAGAATTTATTAATATTTGTTATTTTCAATAAGTAACAAAAGAGTATTAGTAAGATAAAACTAGTATTTTTGTTGTCCACCTCAATGTGGCTGGGTCTGATGTCCCTCTCCTCCTTCCCCTATAGCTTCAATGAGTTGTCCTACACGAAACATTTTTGGATCCACTTCATGAGGCGTGTCAAGAACCTTATATCTTGTACAACAACCTCAACAAGCATTTTTTGTCATTTCAGATGGAACGATGACATTTTGAAAGCAAAGGGTGACTATAAAATATAAATTATATTTTTCTTATTTCTCCTCCACTAGTCAAGCGAATTGTCCGACTTAGAATCTATTTAGACCTACTCTATGAGGTGTGTCAAGAACATGCCATCTTGTTATACAACTTCTTGGACAAAAATCAACATGCATTTCTCTATCATTTTATATGAAATGGAACAAGAGTGATATTTTTGAAACTTGTTTCTCTTCCATCGAAACTTGACCATGATTTTTATTAGAGTCATCAAAACAGATTACAATCCGTGACGTGAGATAATTCGATGCACCACAGATTTAAGTTAGATTATTAGACTTTAAAAAATTTATAAATTTTAATATTGTTGAAAATTCTATCTGACCAACTAAGAATCCCACTTACACAATTGTTACACAATTGAATCTATAGTAAGTTAGACTGACTCGTCAACTCATTTTTTTTTTGAAAAAACAACCTGCAGCCCATAAAAAAAATATTAAAATCCACATCCACCCAACCTATATCAAATGTAATATTTATCGTATTTATATATATATAATATTTACAAGTAATTTAAACCCATTATACCTATGATTGGACGTTATTATTTTTTGCTTATTCTCTGCTAAAATTTAAGATACAGGGGTTTGACTATTTAGTTTTAAATAAGGATAAAAATCATCAAAAGTTATATTCAGTTTATAATGAAGGATAAAATAATCGGTTAGTTTTTAATAAATTAATTAATTAACATGTTATTTTATTAACTAGTATAATTTACACCATTAATTGTGTGTTATGCTAATAATTATTAATTTAGTCATAAACTATTTATAATAGGTTTTGCTTCTTTGAAGACCATAGATAAGATTAATTTAAAAGAAAAGAAAGAGTAAAATGTTTTTTTTAGAAAAGTTTATTTAAAACAAAAAAAGACTGCAATACAAAGGAGAAAGTGAAAAAAAAAGAAAGTAACAAAAATTTTAGGTCTTATAACACAACGAAACACAAACTGAACCTTGGTAAAAGTAAGAGAAAGAAAAGGTGTAAAAATAAAACCTTAAAAATAATTGGAAGGAAAAAAGGTGTACAATCTTAAAAGACTTACGTTACAAAGATGTCTCATGTGTTTTTTCAATCAGTAAAAAAAAAACAGTTTTAGTAAAATAAATAATATTTATAATATCTCTCTTCTCAACTTACAATTTTGAAAGTAAAGTATGAATAAAATTTAAGATTTTCTTCTTTTTCATCTACTAAAAGTTTTGTCTAATTTTGACCATTCAATTTTTAATAAAGATAAAAATAATCATTCAATTTTTAATAAAATTTTGATATTATTTTTAATTAATATATTGTTTTAGTAACTAGTATAATCTACACTATTAATTATATCTAACAGTAATACAATATTGACTCACCTATGAATTATTTGACTTGAGGGTTCATTGTTTATATAATTTGTTTTAAAATTATAGATAAGACTAATTTTAAAGAAAAGAAAGAGTGAAATGAACTTTTAGAAGAATTTATTTAATAGTGTTGATTATATCTTATAATGAATCTTCTATGACTCATCTAAACTCTAATTTCAAAACTCACTCGTGATTCATATGAACTCATTTAATTTAAAAATTCATTACAAATATTACACTAGTGACTTATTTGAGTCCTGATTCCAAAACTCATTTGTGACTCATCTGAATCCTAATTCAAAAACTCATTTGTGACTCATCTGAATTCTAATTCCAAAATTTACATGATTCATCTGAATTTTAATTTCAAAACTTAACTGTGACTCATCTGAATCCTTAACCTTAAATTCACTTATAACTCATCTGACTTAAAGATTTATCACAAATATTATACTTGTAAGTCATCTGAACCCTATATCTTAAACTCACATATGATTTATCTGAATCTTAAATCTTAAACTTATTTTGACTCATTTGATTTAAAGATTCATTATAAATATTATACACGTGACTCATCTGAACCTTAAAACTTAAATTCATTCGTGACTTATCTGAATATTAAATCTTAAACTCATTTGAGACTCTTCTAACTTAAAGACTCTTAAATATGATTTGTTTTAAGAAGAACAAGAGAATGTAAATAATTTTAAAGATGAAAGTAAAAGGAAAGAAAGAAAGAAAAAATAGTTAAATTTTATTTAACAAGAAAAAAGGTGAAGGCTTCAAGTTCAAAGTTCACCACCAAGGCAAACAGTAATGAGAGTAAGGGAAAGAAAACGAGGACAGACAGGCTAAGCAGGTTACCGGACGAAATCATCCACCGTGTGCTTTCCTTTGTGGACGCAGTTTCAGCTGTTCAGACGAGCGTTTTGAGTAAGCGATGGAAGAAGCTTTGGACTTCCCTCCCCGTCCTCAACTTCAACTCTTCCTCCTTCCACCACCCTCTCCTCTTCCACTCTTTCATCCACCACTTCATGTCCCACAGAGACTCTTCCACCAACCTCTACGCCCTCAACTTCTCCTGCAACGATGAACTCGACGATGGCCACGTCGTTGATTCCATCATTGACCATCTTACCCTCTCACCCACCATTCAGTTTCTCACCATCTATGCTGAATGCCCAGAGGCCAACCTTCCTCAAGTCTCTTTGTGCCAATCCCTCACCACCCTCAAGCCCGCCGACATATGCAACGAGGCCACAACGTTTGACTTCGTTTCTCTTCAAGGCTTTTACCTTTTTGATTGTCGGTTCGAGTGTGGGGCAGAGGAAACACTTGATCTTTTCAAGGGTTGTGTTAATCTCAAATGCTTTTGTCTGCATGATTGTCTGTGTTATGGCAGTGTTAAGAGCTTCAAAATCTCTGCGCCCCATCTTGAGTGTCTCGGAGATGAGAGTGGATGATGTGTTTGATTCTGACTGTGCTATTGAGCTTTTCACGCCAAAGCTTCAATCTTTTAGCTACTGTGACTCTCATCTTTATAATTTTTCTGCAAAGGTGAGTCTTTCCCAAGTGGAGAAAGTAGATATTGTTATAAACTGTTTGACTAAGGATACTAATCTTTCTCTTCGACTGATTGGGTTGTTTGAGGGGATGGGAAGTGCAAAGTTTGTATCTTTATCCCTTGATGTCACTAAAGTAAGCATAATTTTTTTTTTCACTCTGGTATTTTGATTAATAGTTGCTACACTACTGTACTTTCAACTAAATTATTGTCTCTCTTGGATACTTATTTCCTAGGTTCTGTCTATGTTTCGTGATCTGTTGAATGGTCGGTCTTCTCCTTTCACTAGAGTGGTGAGTTTTAAGTTAAACATGGGAAGACCTGCTTCCTCCTATGTTATACATTCCATTGTCATGGCCTACTTATTTAGTGGATCTCCTGAAATGGGAAGGTATGGGAAGGATATATAAAAAAAATCATCTTTTTGTTTTCTTTTACTACTTATTATAAATGCAGAGCATTCATACACTGATTAATTGTTATGTTGCTTTATGGAATGCAAATTTTTTTTTTAAGGTCGAAATTACTTGATATGCAATAACTCAACTGTTTGGTGTTTAAGAAAATTCAACGAGCTAAGATACTTAATCCAACTAAGGCCACATTTATAAAGCCTTGGTGTCGTCTATATCACATAAGATTCAACAATGTTTTAAGTTGCTATTTGACTTCCTCACACATGACACATTCCTTGGGGCTGAATATGTAAAGCTTTGTGAAACTGGATTGGTTTTATAAGAGAAGGCTAAAGGAATATAGAAAAGTCTATCAAATATAAAATTTGTGTGTGATAAAAAGGGGTGGAAGAAGGCCTAAGGTTATCTAATGGAATGTAATCCTTTTTACTTTATTCCATCCTGTCACCATTCTTTAATCTAGTTGAATTTTATATAGAAAAGGGCTATAAATCATGATTACCTATAAAGCTCAAACATCTCTGCAAAATGCCTTATCAACATAATGACACTTATCATATACATCTTGAACACGTGTCTGACATCTTTCTACTATGTCAATACTTTTTTTGGGCTCGAATACATCTCTAATATATCTTGAACTCCTTCATGACATAACTTGGACACAAGCAAAGAGTGGGAGTCAACTCAGGCTCTTGGCTAAACACTTATGTGACACATGCATGTAGTGTCCCAATGTGCTATATTTTTGACATTACATGTATCCCTGTCCCGGTGTTCGTGTCAGAGTGGTGCTTTCTATTCATTGCTGTTAAAATTCGTAATCGTTTGGTTCTAGCCCATGTAATGAACTGATATGGATCACAGAGTAGCATTCTTCATAAGGCCTTGAGAGAGAATGTTATGGTATATTTTTTGGCTTCATTGAAGTTGATTACAGATCTTTTGTTTTTACATTACAGCTGCTTAGAGTAAAAACAAATTTGATAGATGATGGCTTGCGGCAAACTGCCACCGTTTTACTTTTAGGAGGATAGAGATGTTTTGCTTGGGTCTAAAGTAATAAAGTACTTGTATTTTCTGCTAAGAAGTACGTGCCAACGTTCTTATTCTGATGTCATATTTGTTACATATGTTTATTTTGCTATCATTTAGGCTCTTGCTGTAATAGCCTGTAACTGGAGTGTTTTTTTTTTTTTTTTTTTTTTTTTTTTTTTTTTTGTAAATATAGCTTATTTCGTATGAAATCTCAATTATCAATTAGCTCAAAAGTACAAGTGAAAGTGGTAAACAGAATTGACTTATAACATTAAATTCTGAACTTATTTCTGTGTAAACTGGGACAAACTCCAGAGCTTTCTTGATTACCGCTTATTATCACCTCTATTATATAAATGATGAACCTTTATTTGGAGACTGAGGTGTTCACTCTCCACACTACTGTTGTTTCTTAACTTCTTTCCTATATTCTCTTTTAGCTCTGATATTCACGTGCTTAACTTTCAAAAGTGGTAATGCTTAAGTGGTGAATTTTATTGTGATGTTAGCATTTTAGTGTCAAGATTGCAACTCCTTTTGCACCGGCAACAATCGAGGACTTTGGTTTGTAATAGCTCTTACTCTTAATGTTAGTGTTATTGGTTTTGGTTTTTTTTTAGAAGCCTGAAACAATTGATTGACGGAACTATCATTTTCTTTTTTTGTTTGCACCGAGGATATCTACTAACCAATAGTCTGAATTTGTTTTTGTTTGTAATGTAGAGATCATCGAAATGAGTCGTGTTGATTAATAAAATCTAAAATCTTTTTCATATGCATGGGACAGAAATCAAATCCTTGACAACATACTTAAGAATTTCAGTTATTAACTAACTGTGCAGGACTTTGTTGGTAGAACAATCATATTTTTAGTGTTAATATAATTGTTTTGGGTGATTTTGTGTGAATCAATAGGGATAAGCTGATGATACTGCGGTTTTACGTTCTACTGAATGTCTGAGTGATGTTTGAATCCATCTGATAAATTTAAACTGGTAAAATAGGATATTGTAGACAACTTGCATTGTGAATGGTTGAAACTTTTTCAGGCATTTCCACTGCAGCAGCATGTTTCTTTGTACGCAGCACATGCTTAAATTTCAGTTTGATCTTGGACATAATTTAATGCGGGATTTTAGTTTGATCTTGGATATTAGTTAGCAGGTTATTTTTAATAAATAGAAAAATGTTCCACACTAAAAACTTTTCAAGATTCAGGATATAGACAGGTCAAAATGTTGACACGTAGTTTGGGCATTATCGTGAAAGTAAGTTTAAAACTATTTTAATGTTTATTTTAACGTTTGTTTATATTTAAAAATTCAAAAAATGAAACCATGTAAATGTGTCCTAAACCTTTTAAAAGAAGTAAGTGAAAGAAATGTTAGGGACACTTTTTTTTTAATATTTTTTATTATTAATTGAAATTTATTGAAAATAATAAAGTTTTTGTGGGTATCGAATCATTTAACGAATTTATTTTGATATAATGATAAAATTTTTAATATTTGTAATTTTTAATTAATATATATGAAAGTATTACTAAGATAAAAAAGTCTTGCTAATATTTCTTTTAAGGAGGCGAGTTATAGTGGTAAATATAACAAATGGTCCACTAGTGGAGAAATGTATAGAATTTTTTTTTTTTAAATTTATTTTTAAAATTGTTTCAAATTACTCATAAGTCTGTTCTCTGTTTTAAAATATTTGACTAAGATCTTTTTGACTAAATATAATAATATATACAAGTATATATATAATGTTTATCATATATAAACAGATTAAACTGAATCACATGTAATATCCTCTCTATATATATATATATATATATCTATATATATATATAATATTAACAAGTACTTTAAACCCATTATGTATGGTGTGATTACTTTTTGCTTGTCCTTTGATAAAATTTAAAGTGTAGGGATTTGAGTATTTAGTTTTTAATAAGCATAAAAATAATTAAAAGTTATTTTCAGTTTATAATGAAGGGTAAAAACAATAAGTTAGTTTTTAATAATAAATTAATTAACAAGTTATTTCAGTAGCTAATATAATTTACATTATTGATTATGTCTTATGATAATAATATATTAATCTAGTCATGAACCATTTATAATAGGTTTTGTCTCTTTTAAGACTATAGATAAGATTAATTTAAAAGAAAAGAAAGAGTAAAATGCATTTTTGGAAAAATTTAATAAAGCAAAAAAGATTGCAATACAAAGGAGAAAGTGAAAAAAAAAGAAAATATTTTTTTTTAGCTCTTATAACACAACAAGACACAAACTAAATCTTGAATAAAAGTAAGAAGAAGAAAAAATGGTGTAAAATCTAAAGCTTAAAAGTAAGAGAAAAGAAAAAAAGGTGCACAAACTAAACCTTAAAAGACACATGTTGAAATGATTTATAATATTTTGACATTAGCATCAATAGCAAAAAATAAAAATAAAAATAATATAATAAATAGTATTTTTAATATTATATTTTTTTTTCATCTCATTTTACTATTTTGAAAGTAAAGCGTGAATATAAATTAAAATTTTCTTGTTTTTTCTTCTTTTAAATTTTTTGTCTAATTTTGACTATTCAATTTTTAATGAAAGTAAAAATGATCATTTAATTTTTAATAAAATTTTGATATTAATTTTAATTAATATATTATTTTAATATATAGTACAATTTACAGTATTGATTATATCTAGCAGTAATATAATATTGATTAATTTGCAAATTGCTTGACCTAATTTATATAATTTATTTTAAGATTATAGACATGACTAATTTTAAAGAAAAGAAAGAATGAAATAAATTTTTAGGACTAATTTATTTTAAGACTAATTGACTCATTTGTAACCTATTTGAATTTTAATTTTAAAATTCACATGTGACTTATCTGAACTCTAAATCCTAAACTCACTTGTGACTCATCTGACTTATAGGTTCACAAGTATTACATCTGTGAGTCATTTGAACCCTAAAACCCTAAATTCACTCATGACTTATCTGAACCCTAAATCTTAAACTCATCTCTGACTTATTTGATTTAAAGATTCATCACAAGTATTATATTTGTGAGTCATCTGAACCCTAGACTCTAAAGTCTAAACTTACTCATGACTTATCTGAACCATTAATCATACACTCATTTGTGCCTCATTTGATTTAAAGGTTCATCACAAATATTATATCTGAGTCTCTGACTCATCTAAATCCTGAGACTTGAACTCTTCTGTGACTTATCTGAATCCTAAATCTTAAACTCATTTGTGACTCTTTTGAGTTAAAGTATTCGAAAAAATTATTCGTTTTTAGACGAGAAGAGAATGCAAATGATTTCAAAGATGAAAGGGAAAGAAAAAAAAGCAAAAGAGATAGTTAAATTTTATTTAACAAGAAAAAAGATGATGGCTTCAAGTTCAAAGTTCACCACCAAGATTGGGCAGATGATAAACACACCTCCACTCTCGTATAAACACATCCTTTTTTTTTTAGAAAAAATATATAAAATATCTAAATTATCCTTTTAAAAAAAATGAAATTCCTAAATTTACACCTCCCTTCCCTGCACCCCCTTAAATAAAAACGATTTTTTTAAAAAAAATGCCAGTTCACACATTTTTTTGCATTTTAAAATTTATTTATATTATTAATAAAAATGACATGCTTTTTTTTAGTTTACAAATTCTATTTACTGTTTTGTTCTTTAACTTTCAAAACAATTAATCTTTGTCTTACTTCTTTACATTTAGTTTTTATTTTTTCTTTCATTTTTCTATAAATTTATTTTTTAAACTTTTTACACATTCTAAATAATTAATAAACATTATATAATTATTAAGTGCCACACATATTTAATCTTAATTATTTTTATTATTTTATTTTATTTTAAAATAAAAATGCTACAGAAACGCGAAATATCTTTTTTGCACTATTGAGATAGAAATAGGATAAGGATCTGTGGACTCAAACATTGGGTAAAAAAAGCCCATGGGTTTCCCTTATACCAAGGCGGGGGTATACCCATTACCCACTACCCAGGGTATAAGCTTTGAGCTTTGGCAGATGATAAACACACCTCCACTCTCGTATAAACACATCCTTTTTTTTTTAGAAAAAATATATAAAATATCTAAATTATCCTTTTAAAAAAAATGAAATTCCTAAATTTACACCTCCCTTCCCTGCACCCCCTTTCCCCGCACCCCACAATTCACACCCCTCTTCTTCCTAAAGCCTCTTTCCGCTCAATGTCATTAAGCAATATACTTTTACAGTCATTCTGAATAGAAAAAAAGGACTAGCTCCACCATAACCAGCATAAGAAAGGTTCTTTTACAGTCATTAGCATTCCGGAAAGTACTTTTACAGTCATTAGCATTTCAAAAAGTACTTTCCGGAATAGTAAAATTATTATTCATATAATTCCGGAAAGAACTTTCCGTAATAGTAACTTTAATATTATGGAAAGTACTTTCCGGAATTATGTAACAAAGCATTTCCGGAAAATACTTTCCGGAATAAGAATTTAATATTATGGAAAGTATTTTCCGGAACATTTTTATATAATTCTGGAAAGAACTTTTCATAACAGTAAGAAGAAGAAGAAGAGGAGTGTCAGAAAGAGAAAGAAGAGGGGCGTGCGAGGTGCGGGAAAAAAAAAGAAGAAGAGGAGAGTGTCAGAAAGAGAAAGAAGAAGGGTGCGCAATGTCAGCAGGTGGTCTTGTAAGAGAAAGACTCTTACTTGTTCTATGGAAAGACACACTAGTACAAAAATGACTTTTAAAATTGGAGTTTTAAAATCAGTCATAAGGTAGTCATGTTAAAAGTGACGCGGTGGCCTGTACTGCAACAGAACGGCCCCAGAACGGCCCGTTCTGCAAACAGAACGACCTGTTCTGCTTTCAGTACATCCCATACTACAAGCAGAACGGCCTGTACTGCTTGCAGAACGGGGCAGCACGGGGCGTTCTGCAATCAGAATGGCAGATGATAAACACACCTCCACTCTCGTATAAACACATCCTTTTTTTTTTAGAAAAAATATATAAAATATCTAAATTATCCTTTTAAAAAAAATGAAATTCCTAAATTTACACCTCCCTTCCCTGCACCCCCTTTCCCCGCACCCCACAATTCACACCCCTCTTCTTCCTAAAGCCTCTTTCCGCTCAATGTCATTAAGCAATATACTTTTACAGTCATTCTGAATAGAAAAAAAGGACTAGCTCCACCATAACCAGCATAAGAAAGGTTCTTTTACAGTCATTAGCATTCCGGAAACACCTCTTCGACACAGATTGGACACCAATCTGACCCGACTTGGACAGTGTTAAAAGAGTGAGCCGATACCTGCTCTTAGCTACACACTCATGTGACACTTCTATTAAAAAAAAATAATTATATAAATACTACAACACTCCTAATATTTTTTTGTTGTTTTATGAAGCTCATTTTTATAAGAATTACTGGTTGTTTAACTTTTAAAGAGATATGATTCATAATCTTGGATTTTTTTTACATAAAGATTTTGTTATGAAATCATCCATCTAAGTCTTCTATTTGTGAGGGTTATTATCATATGAAAATTGTAAAGCTTAATAACTTTATACATGATGAATATATATAAATCTTAATTCTCAATTTAGATTTTTATTGTGTAGATTATACACTCACACATGCAATATCCCAGTGTCTTATTGCACATTAGTTGTGTTCCTTTATCGTATATGATGTCTGTATCAGAATCGGTGCTGTATATTTATTACTGTAAAAATTCATAGTTGTCTAATTTTAGACCTTGTGATGGACAAATATGGATCATATGCTGGAGTATGGTTCTTTAAAAGGTTAGCTGAGTGAAAGTCATGGCAACATTAAAATCAAAATTGTAAACCTTTTGTTTTATATTACAGGTGCTTAGAGTAAGAACCAATTTAATAGAAGATGGCTTCCGGCTAACTTCTGCCGTTTTACATTTTGAAGGATCAGGAGATGTTTTGCTTGGATCTAAAATAACAAAGAAGCTCTGTTTTCTGCAATGCCTATATGGCAAAGCAAAGAGGAGTGAACTTATTGTTCTTAATCTGGTGTCATATTTGTTAATGATGGTTATTTTAAAATCTTTTAGACTCTTGCTGTAGTCTGTCACATCTAATATGAAATTTCAATTATAAAGTTGTTCTAAAGTACATGTGAAAGTGATAAACAAAATTGACGTATAACATTAGATGTCTAACCATAAATCTGTGTAAAATGGGACAAGTTCGAGACTTTTCTTGATTACAGCTTATTATCACCTTTATTATATTAATAAGGAACCTTTATTTGGAGATCGAAATGTTCACTCTCCCCACTTTCTCTATTTTTCATTCTTAGTTTCTTCTCTCTATTCTCCTTTAGCCATGATATTCACGTGCTTAACTTGCTATGCTTAAGTGGTGGATATTTGTTGTGAAGTTAGCATATTAGTATCAAGACTGCAACTACTTTTGTACTGACAGCAATCAAGGACATTGCCTTATAATAGCTCTTAATCATAGTGTTCACCAACCATATAAAAAATATTAATTTAATATTTTTTATTGTTTTTTATTATTTGTGTTATTATCAGTTACGAATCCTAATTATTTGATTCATATATATTTTCTTGATAATAAAGAATAAGATAGAATATTAAAAATTGAATATTTATTTTATTTGATTTTTCATCCAATGATTATATTTATTATATCTTTTAAAAATCCAAAATAACTAGTTATAGTAGACATATAGAAGCTAGATGAAATATTTTCTTTTTATACACATGTTTATAAAACACTTTCCTAAATTTCCATTTTTTTAGGAAAAAAAATAAACAAAATTACTACTTGAAATATACAATTGAAAATGGAAGATTTTTCAATAAATTATTAAAGACAACCAAATAAGAGATGTTTTGTTTAAGACTAAAGTAACAATGAACTTGTGTTTTCTATAATGCAAAATGCAACAAAGTGAAAAAAGAGTTGACTTATTATTTTTAATCTGACATTATATTTGTTACTAATGGTTATTTTGCAATCTTTTAGGCTCTTTGATAGAAACTAAGGTGGGGATGGTTAACGATTTTTTCCTCTTGTTCTCTTGCTCCTGCAAGTTCTTTCCATGGATCTAAAATTCAAAATAAACTCACAAAATGGAAGGGATTTAGAAGTTAATGTTTGTTAGTCTCAATGAGATATAAGTTATAAAAGAGGTTCTTTTTACAAGGAATATTTTTTTAATGAAAGAATGTAATGAGATAAATTATTCTTAGAGAAACAAGAGACCTTTGACAGAGAATTTGGAAGTGTGTTCACTCAATTAGCTCAAAAGTGATGTTTACATGTAGAAGATGAAAATATATGAGGTTAGGTAGCTTATGGAACAAGTTAGGCTAATCATGAGTCAAGAATGAATCATGGTTGCTTAACTTGAGTTAATAGGTACCTAAAATTTGAATTCAAATTTTGGCTCCAACTCTCCCATGTGCTCTTAGATTCAAATGAGCCTATAAGACAATGTCATGTGGCAAGCAATTAAAGTGTCACTAGTCCTTACCATTTGATTAGAATTTGAATTTAACTAAACTAATTCATGTGCACCACTCCACTTGGTCGGCTACATGGTTAGTTTAGTTGATGGTTAGTTTAGTTGATTCAACTGTGATCACATGGTCTAAGGCTAGTTGCACATCCTAGGCCCATTATTTAAATACTAAAGAGATTACATGGAAATTTCTATACTACTTAGCTAAAAAATATGAAAATATATATGCACTAGTGTACAAGAGATATTGGACTTATATATTTAGTAACACATAACTCAAGATGAGTTTAGGCCTACTAACCTTGTCACGAGTTCATTACTGTGAAAATTCATAGTTGTCTAATTTTAAACCTTGTGATGGACAAATATGAATCACATGCTAGAGTATATCCTTCTTTAAAAGGCTTGCGGAGTGAACGTTATGCCCACATTGAAATCAATTAATGAACTTTTGTTTTACATTACATGTGCATAAGGTAAGAACCAATTTGATAGAAGATTGCTTCCAGCTAACTTTCACCTTTTTACTTTTTGAAGGATCAAGAGATGTTTTGCTGGGTCTGAAGTAACAAAGAACTTGTATTTTATGCAATGCATATATGACAATGCAAAGAGGACTTGACTTATTATTGTTCTTAATCTGGTGTCATATTTGTTACCAATGGTTATTTTACAATCTATTAGGCTCTCAATGTAATAGTGTGTCACATTTGATGTGAACTTTGAATTATAAATTAGCTCAAAAGTACATGCGAAAGTGGTCAAATGAGTTGGTTTATAACATCAGATGTCTGTACTTAAATTTCTGTGTAAAATGGGAGTAAAATGAGTTGGTTTAAATTTCTGTACTTAAGCTCGAGAGTTTTCTTGATTACAGCTTATCATCACCTCTATTATATAAATGAGGAACCTTTATTTGAAGACTGAGGTTTTTACTCTCTTCACTTTCTCTATTGTTCATTTTAACTTCTCTCCATTCTCCTTCAGCCAGATATTCATGTGCTTAACTTGCAAAAGTTGTAATGCTTAAGTGGTGGATATTTCTTGTGAAGTTAGCATATTAGTTACAAGATTGCAACTCCTTTTGTACTGCAGCAATCAAGGACTTCGCCTTATAATATCTCTTAGTGTTAGTGTTATTGGCTGTGGTTTTGGTTTGAGATGCCTGAAACAACTAATTGACAAATCAATCATATTCTTTTTTTGTTTGCACCGACCTTACCAATAGTCTGAAACTATTTCTGTTTGAAATGTAAAGGTTACCAAAATGAGTTTGTCTTGGTGAACTAAGTCTTTTTCATACACATAGATAGGAATCAAGTCCTTGACAACATGCTTAAGAAGTTTAGTTATCTACTAATTGTTCATGACTTTGTTGGTAGAACAAATATTTAGTGTTAATATAATTTGTTTTTAGTGATTTTGTGCGAATCAATAGGAATAAATTGATGATATTTTGGTTTGTAAGTTCTATAGTTTTTAGTGGCACTATTGAATGTTTAGTGTAATGACACTAACTTTAAGAATTTATCTATAGTATAAGCATAAGTCCCCAGGATATAACATAATTGTTTGAACAATGTTGAGGAATTCGTGTAAATCTTGTAAGCAGACCAAAATATTAGGGAGAAATTTTGGCGAAATTTATCAAAAACGATGTTAAAGAATAAAATATTTGATTTGGATAAGGTTCGATAAAATAGATAGAATTTTTAAAGTAATCAAAAATAAAAATATGCTCAGATCCCATTTTCGTACACATAAGGAGGTAAGGGAAGGGGGCAAATCAACAAAATTGCCCTACAATGGACTTACTAATTGCACTTACGCATGTGAGAACTGCGTGGTTATTAATTTCTACCCTTGGAAATCAAGCCTTCTCAGTTCTCGTAAAGTGCTTTGTTATCTACATAACGTCTAAATGCACTTATGCATTTGCCTTATCAGTTTCCCAAAAAACAACAAAATAGAAGTGCGTTTCACTTTTCCTCTCAACAAAATAGAAAAACCCTAGGTATTATTTATTTGATTGAAACTTATTACAAATCACAATTTTGTGAGTTTCATTTTTTACTTAATAAGTTTCACTCATAATTTTGTAGTTTATAATAAAGTTTAACCAATAATTAAAAATGTACAACGGATTAAAAAATTCCCCAAATAGGATGTGTTGCTAAGCTAGCACTCCTTATAAACAAAAATCCCCAAATTATATGCAGAGATTATATACCGGTTTTGCCTCACTGTGACTGATTAGTGATGTTTGATTTTGCTTAATTTTCAGAAACTTTAGTCAAAAGATCTCTTGTAAATAGTTTTATACACCATTTGACTTTTCAAGGTTTTTTATAAGAGGAGACCAACAAAGCAATTTTATGCAATAACTTGGATTCACTTTTGTTATCATCATCTTGACGGTTAGTGGTCCATTCCTGAAAATGATGAAGACTACCAGTGAAGTCTGTAAAGAGACCATCAACACCTATCTTATTGATCCAATAATCATACTCCATATACGGATCTTGAGAGAAGTTGAAGTGCAAAAACCTGTTCTCATTTCGGTAAGTATATGGATGTACCTGCATCAATATTAGCAATTCATATTTGTTATTTGTTAGGCTCTAAAACCATTCATGGAAGACAATACAGTAGATTACAAATTAAAGAGAGGAAATGTCAACAGATTTTCAAGAAACATATAAGAAACCAAATCAAGAATAATTTCGCTCAATCTACCAAAAATTATCAAATCATACGAAAGAAAATAAGCTTTAAGCAAGAACTGTACCTGCAGGTTATGTGCATGAGCCCTAGTAACAAGATCAGTAGGATTTATCATATAATTGTTTACCACAGGTACCAACGTGTCCTTCCAAGGTCCGATTCCCACAACATATTGCTTTATGTAGTCTAGGTATTTATTGGATGTAATCTCCCAATATGACTGCACATCATCACATTACTATTTTGTTAGTCTTTGGAATAAACATGTAAACAGCATTGTATAACATAAAATGGAGACAATATTACTTTTGAAAAGACAGAAATTGCATAAATGCGGCTAAGATCTAGGGATAACCAAGGTTCAGTCAAGTAGGGATGGATAATCTCATAGGGCAGGGCTTTCTCCAATTTCAACATTTTATTTAAGGAAGTCAGCATCGAGTGTCTTAGCAAGAAAGACAGTGGAAAGCTGAAAAAGAGTGAAAGTTGAAAAGGTATTTGGCAACAGTGTTAAGTTTAAATACGTTATTCTTTTATATTCCTCCATATATACAACAAGAAAGATAAGTGTTCACTATTCTCCATGCAAAACGAGTATAAAGCTGCACGGTTGGGATATTCGATGGTTTCTCTTTGTAGTGTTTTATGTTTTAATGACTGAAGATGTGCCATTATGATATAGATCAACTTCACAAGTATAACAAACTCCTTAAAAAAAACATTTTGTTCTGATAACATGCACACGGAACAGAAGTTCAATAATCCTAAAACAGCTCGGACATCAGGGGTAAAATGTATAACACACCTGATTAGTGTCTTGCGTTGGAACAGTAACATCATCAATTAAGAGAACTTTGGGCAAGTCTGTTTTATTTGATATATACACGAGCGAAGTTGGAGCAAACGACTGAATAAATGCAGGTTGTCTCAACCAATCTTTTGACAAATAGGAACCTTTGTACCCATATTTCTGAAGTGTCTCCACAAACTTGTCCTCAAAACTTTTGCCATGCAACCATTTCACCTGTTCATTGTATCAACTTAATGAACAGAAAGCAGACAAAACCTCAAAAAGAAATTGGCTAAAACATATTACTACTACGATCAAATTATCAAACATAACATTGAATGATTTTTAATAAAACATTCTAACAGGGGATAAGAATTTTTTCTTGATACAATTTGCATACTTTGAATTTCCAAGAATATAATCTCACCTTCTGTAATACTCAATATCCTAGATTTAAAGTAAAGATGAGAATTTATTTTATTGATTGTGCAATATCACGAACAATAATCATCAATGATGGATTCTAATAAATATTTCTGTTAGATGAATTATATTATCCTAACATTTTGGCATTTGTTGGATTCTAAAAAGAAATACTCACACGTTTATTGATAAATACTGGATTTTTTATCTCTGGATATATTCCAACAACTCTGGGTGCATCCAGTGCTATGGTAATGAACTCTTCAAAAGTGATAATTTGAAACTTTCCTGAAATAAATTCCAAGTATAAAGTTATAGACTAACAGCTACTTTTATGTGTGCTGGAGCAATATTAGTTTCTTGAAGTAATCACAAGAGAATAACAAGTCATCAGCAGACAGCTTCCCTAAAAATGAAAAAAAAAAATTAGTTCCATTCTTCTGTGTGTAGGGGAATAATGTAACAGAATGCACAGGTGGCAGCAAGGTATTGAATATAAAAAAAAATAGTGCAAGGATAGGGGAGGAAAGGAAAAGTGAATAAGGTGAGGGTGGGAAATAGTGGAGAGGACAATAGAGTTTTGGAGAGGATTTGGTGGCTTTGGCAAGGGAGGGCAGAGTCCGTATTTCAGCTCTGATAGTATTCTCTTTACTGCATTTTCTTCATTTCTCCTATTCAAGTATATCTGTTTCTTTTTGTTGATTAGTAACTTTTCCTTGTAGAGGAGATTCCCTCTAGTTCTATCTTATTTTCAGTATTTATTGCAGTTCTTATCAAAATCTATTATGAATTAAAAAAATTATTCACAATGAATTTAGAAGTATCAGGTAGTGAACTGTGATAACAGAACATCTCAGAATCAATGCATGAACCAGTCAAACAAATGAAAGAAAATTACACATAATAGCATGTGAGGCCACTTGGTGTAAGGAGGGGCTAACCATTAAATTGTTGGTCCCTGAAGCTAAACCTCTGTCTCACCCTCAATGACTTTAATTCCTTTAATGAGAAATCAACTGCAAATATACAAACAAGTAAAATTATTTTGGCAAAATAGATAATTCCAACAGGAACCGGTTCTGTTAAGAAGGAAACAGGACTTTCAACAAAATCAGAGAACTTGAAACATAAGCAAGCCTTCTCGGATATACCATTAGAAACGATGAAAATTGAGATGAATTTCAAGATTATCTATTTATGTCATAGGAAGAAGCAATCAGATTAACCCCCCATTTATTTTATTAAAAAAATTGCAAGTAAGTTGAACAAAGGATAGCAAGTTTAGCTACACTACCAGTAAAAAAGCCAGTGATGTTTTCCCCTTGGACTTCATATGTTCTTTTCCGATCAGCAAACTCTTTATGATTTGCAACGTCAGTAGTATTATCAAGGGTAACATCATGGAAACATATAAGAACACCATCTTTGGATGATAGGATATCAGTTTCAATGAAGTCTGCACCTTCTTCAATAGCTCTCTGCAAGAAACATTCTATTTTAGGCAAACACAAGGAAAATATGAAAATGATGTTCATTATAACATCTGCATTTTACCTAATAATAGCTTATGAATGATTGCATTTCATGCAACAACAAAAAAATGGTCAATTTCAAAATAAAAAATAAACATTGAAAAACGTGCGTAGTTTTGTCAAAAAAAAGTCTTCACCAAGTATGCAGGACGAGTTTCTTCAGGAAGCTCTCCATTTGAACCACGATGTGCAATGTTATACGGGCGAAAAGTTTGTAGGGGCTTCCGACTTCCATCATGACCTTGGCTAGGAAGTCGATACAAAGGCCTTGCAGTGCACCCAATAACAAGCAATAGAAGTAAAAAAGGAGCAAAACCTGTCATGATCAGAATTATTACAAGAGATATTTACCTCTGAACCTTCAGGAAAAAAACTATTATTCTCACGAGAAGTGTTCCACCGTTCAAATTATACATGTCGAATTATCCTCCGACGTTTAAACTAACGATAATATCAAATTAAAAAAATTTACATTAAATCAATCTACAGAAATATAACTTTCGGTGATCGGAGGATTAAGCATTTTCTTATTCTCACACACATGAAAAAGAATACGTTCCAAGGGAAATAAAAGAAGAGAAGACGCATGGTATAGATATTCTGTTAAATTTGAATGTTGAATCAAAAGAGTAATAATACTATATCAGTCCTTATATAAAATCCTTTTAACTGATTCATAATAGTTAGAAGCGTTACATTTCTTTAACAATTTGTATTACTTTTCTAAAATTATCCTAAAATTATTGAGACTTAACATCTCACCATTTCCAACAAACTACTTTTCATCTGCTGACCTAATTATTTAATGTTTGTCAGTCATCTTATCTGACCCTCACACAAATGGGTTTATTTTATTAATTTATAGCATATATTTTTATTAACTACAAAATTTGTGAAGTAATTAAGAATATTATGGTCTAAAAAAAACTTATGCAAGAGACAACTGGAAGAGAACCTCAAAAAATGACAAACAAAATTCCAAATTAGTGTTATTTACAATGGACAAGATGAACGGTTATTCCCAAAATGAAGGAGAAAAAAAATAAGAAAATGAATTTCTTCGCGAATTAAAATTATGAAATAGATTTCTCCACGAATTAAAACTATCTTTGTAAGTTAATCTGTAGAAATTTACGTAAGCTTGCCTAAAATTTTATTTTTATCGAATTTTAATTTTTCTTCCTTTTTTTTATTTATATTTTTCTCTACAGGTGTTTTTAAAAAAGCATATCGAAATAGAAATGAGAAAGAAACAACTAGGGTTCCGGACCACACACACACCCATGAATTTTTTTGGATGCATCTCGCTCAGATCACAGAATCAAAAGGAGGGAAAAAAACTAGATAAGAGAATGCGAAAAACATAAAAGAAGATTCTGAAAAGGCTTACTGATTGAGGAAGCCATGGAGACGAAAATGATAGGTGCGGTTGCGTTGTGTTGATTTAAAGTCTTCAACGTAACGAGGTTATCCTATGAATGAGTGAATGAATGAACGAATGATGGTAAATTATTGATCAAAGTCGTTGGCTTATCCCCGAAGCAGTGGAAACTAGGAATATTCTCCGCATTTTGTAGTTGACTTTGTTTTCTTTTTAGATGAGTCTGTCTTTCCAGAATAAGATTCACGACCTAAATACATATGCCACCATGTATCATCGCTGCAATCAATAATTAAGAGTATTTTTTACTCTAACTAAGATGCAGTCAGGAATATGAACTGACCAAGAAAAGTAAGATGTTCTTTTATTACTTAAATAGGGCAATCATAATAATTAAGATGCTGATTTTTTTACTTTAATATAGAAGTACGCATTAGAAATTTAGAATAAATCAGGTTAGGTTAGGAGTTAATATATAGCTCAGATTTATTTTATAAAAATACTTCCTCTATTATTTATTGTTAGCAAAAATAATTAATTTTATGAAGTTGATTATTCAATTAAATTTTATTACTCTTATAATTTTTTTAAATTGTTTTTATTATAAATGTAAAAAAAATAGTGCAATTAATATATTGTAAGATAAGATTTAGAAGAGAAAGGAACTTTGAGAACTTAAACACTTTTTCTCATATTCTTAAGGAAAGATTCATGTTCGGAGACCTTATTTTCTTCCTTCTCAAGATTTTGTAGTTGGTGGAGATTCAAAGCAATTAGGAGTTAAAAATTTAGCGAAGTAGGTGCGGAGCTTGGATTGTTGGAGTTCGGAGCTCATTTCCTTCTCCTTCTTTTCTTCAACCTCGAAGTAGTTCGAAGTTCTTCCCCGATTTCACTCCATTCTAAGGTAAGGGAAGTTGAAATTTTAGGTTTTAGTTGAAATGTTTGGTTGATGAATGAATTAAAAACTTAAAGTTGGTAGAATTTCTGAAATTTGTAGCTGTGAAATGGATTTGAAGTGGGTTGCATGTTGAAATCGAGGTTTTGATATTCTTGATGAGAGGTTACAATGTTGATGATTTATTTGAGTTGTGGTTGATGCATGTTGCTTTTCTTGTGATTTCTAAGTTGTATGTTGTTAGAATCGAAAGATTTTGGGGTTGCATGCTTTGATTATTACATAGGTTGAGAAGATTTGGAGATTAGGTTGTTCATCTGTATGTATAAGTTTCTAGGTTCGGGACACTAAGAATGAGTTTTTACGCTTAGCATGAGAGTTTGGAAGTGTTGTTAGGAAGCTCAGGTTGAGTGTGAGTTTCATGTTGAGCATGAGAGTTGAGATGTGTCTCTAGAAGGTTGAGGCTTAGTGTGAGATTATACACTAAGTGTGAGGGAGGCTGAGCATCAGTTTCACGCTAAGCGTGAGTTGAGATGTGTCTCTGGAAGAAAGATGCTTAACATGAGATTTTGCACTAAGTGTGGGGACTTAGTCAAATAAATTTCTTTTCTAATTGAGTTGGTTGCTTACTTGATGAATGAGTTGTGTGTTTAAAGCTTGTTATTTGAGTTGTTTTATGGTTAAATGATTATGAATAAATTGTAGAGATATTGTTGTATGATAAGGAACTTTATATGTTGAATGTTAATAAGTTGTATGTTGGTGATTATGTTAATAAGCTTGTTATTTGAAATGGAGGTTGTATTGTTTCTCATCTAGAATTTTGTTGGTACTGTGTGTGAGCGAAGTCGATACACGCGTGTATAAAACGACCATAATATATTAATATAGGAGTCTGGTCAAGTTATAATGATTACAAGTGATCAATCGAGTATCAGAAAGTTATAGTATTTGGAGAATAGTCGGTGGGCTAATTCCATAAGAGACTTAATTAAGCTAGTTAATGTCATGGTAGGCCTGTATTCAACTATTTTATCCTAACAGTAGTACTATACTTCCTTATTTAAGTGATGACATCCAAGAAACTTAAGTAGATAAATAAAGTATTGTAAGTAATTCTGATTATAATCAACTACAAGAAGCTTTCATTCAGGTAGATAAAGAAGCATCAAGAGTAAGAGCCTTAAATAGCAAACTGAAAAAGAAACTTAAGTGGTATGATAACACATTGATAAAAAAGTTGAAAAAGAGTTGGAAGATTTAAAATTAGAGCATGGAGCTCTTGAAATAATTTATAAATTCAATGAATGTTCATGTACAACACCTCCCACTCTCATAAAAAAAATGTTTGTAAAACTTGCTCTTATTTGAAAACCACACTAGCAAGATTCACAAATGGTAAAACAAACTTAAACATGTTATTAGGAAAGAAAAGGTATATCTATAATAGAACTGGAATAAGATTTAATACAAACAAGAATGATTTTAAAAAGAAAACCTTTAGCTTTGTTAAGAAATACATTAAATCATTTATTACATGCTTTTATTGTTGCAAGAGAGAATATACAAATAAAAATTGCTACACAAGAAAATATGGTGTTCCAAGTGATTAATACATGTGGATAGCTAAAAGGTAAAGGTTGAGTACTAACATACAAAGACTCAACACATGGGTACCTAAATCTGATTTTTGAATGTTGTTGTAGGAATGCTTAAAAGTCAAAAGTTTGATGTCATATTTGGATAGTGACTACTCAAAACATATGACTGGAGATCCTTTTAAATTCTCAAGCTTCAAGTCATTAGAACACTTGTAAGATTCTTGTAAGAACAAAAAAATAATATTTATAAATTTTAGAAAGATAAATATATAAAAAATCCAAAATCCAAAATTTTTCATTTTACATATATTAAAAATATATTTAAGTCAAAAAATTAAAAGATTTCAACAAAAATGATATGGGTAGGAAAAAAAAAAAGAAAAAAAAATAACAATGACTCGTGTTACACATCTATAGTATTATTAAAGTAAGTTTATTCTGTCTTTACACTCACTTAATACTCTGTTTACATGCCTATAAACATATACAATATCATTCTAAAGACTAAAATTATGATATATTTTTAAATTAGAGACTAAAATAGAACTAAAAAATCTTAGACCAACTAAAACTGAACTTGAGAAAATTTTAGAAGGACAAAATCCATATCCTTCCATTTTTATTGCTACACTCAAAGCATAAATATAATATTTATATATGTCTATTAATTGTATATATTAAGTTTTATTATTGACTGGAGTCAAAGTCATAATTTAATGAGTCAATTTGTTTAATCGAGTTAAATAAATGAAGTTTGCATTTATTTTAGTTCACTTCTGATCTAACTTATTTAACCTTTAGGTCAAATAAGTTCAATTAAGGTTGGATCACTTAACTTACTTGAAATTAAAATTTAACAAAAAATTATTATTTATGGATAATTTAAGTAAAAATGACACTTGAATGATAATTTATTTTGTATCTCTATCTGAATAAATGAATGAGTTGATAGAAAAATTGTGACCCTTTTTTCTATAAAAAAAAATATCATTAATTTTTTTCCTTTCTTTTAAAAAATATGGCGAGTCAATTGGGTTAAGTTGAAATTTTTTTTAACTAGATAATAATCTATTTAAAATTTCAGTCCATGGTAACCAGTGAATTAACTCGAGTGATCCAGATTAAATCAGTTTGAAACCTCCTCATAGTTGGTATTATATGATACTTACTGTCATGCTCGTAACAACTACATTTATATCACAACAAAGGAAGGAATCGAGTACTCTACAAATTCCACCATACGACTTGATTTGCTATTCGAAAAAATAATGTACATGCCGATGTGTCAATCTTACGGTTCATGATTTACAGATAGATAAAGGTAAGCAAACAGGGAAAACCAAATTTGATGAAAACTTTCTTTTTCACTGTCGCTAGAACCATGGATAAGATAATTATGGAAAACATAGGATTCTGAGCACTACACATTCTAAAAGGGCTGTGTGATAAAACCAGCAATCTCCATTGATACAAAATGAATCAGAACAAACAGTAGCATGGATCACACATACAATACAGACTTGGCCTCTCATACTTGTATAAAAGCCCTTAGCAGTAGTAATCACACTTGGCTACGCAATTGTCTCAGAACGTCCAAGGTCTCTCAATCATAGTCTCAGAGGGCCACAGTCTCATTTCCTGCATTACTTTTGGGGAAACCATGCCATCATTAATTTCCTGCTTGTGTAATGTCAGGAAGTTGGAACTAGCTCCTCCTTCTCCTTCAGTATAAAATAAGAGTTTATCAGCAAAGAGGTATACATAATACATGTGCAAGTTATTAGAAGAATCTTTTAATAAAAATCCAAGCTAAACAGCCTAAACTAAAGTTGAATGGATTTATCAAACTAGCCAAAAATACTTATAGCTTTAACTATATACTATTATACTCTCGTTCCACGTGATTGGTGAGGTAGAACGAAACAATCAAGAGAGTAAGAGATAACCATACAGCATTACTGTTCATGCATTGTGACTAGCTACTCCAAAGAGATATTTGTAATTATTAATTTGTAAAATGACCCCAGAATTGTTAAGAGCCTGTTACTTTCCTCTGTCACTATATGGTGGGTCCCCCAAACCCAATTCCCATATTATCCTTCCCTATCTCTACTATCATAAAAGTGATTAAAACTGGGGATTGGAGGTCTATCATATTGTAAATAGCGACTATGTCAAAATTTGATGCTGCACGTGAACTCAGTGGCTTCAGGTTTTCCTATTTTCCTACAACTCATTTTACAACACTCTATCAGTAGGAAACATAAGTGCACCCAATTCATTATTCCAAAATCGAATTAGCCTATGAACTCCTTTTCAGTTTAACAATACTTGAATACTTATGTAAAACAGGACACCAAGTACATATGGAATCCTAGTTCACTAAAATTTATTACAATCATGATAAATTTGTCTAGACTCAAATGAAACTCCTTATTTCTATAAGTATTTTTCTTATTATCACAAATAATATCAAATCACTTACCTCTTTATTCTTATTATCTCTTTCGAAGTATCTACACTTGAGGAGGTTTATTAACATTTAAAGAGTGTATTAAAAACACAAGTCATAACACAGTTAACAAACAAAAGAAAAGGAAAGTTACCCTGATGCCATAAATCCCTAGAAGTATTTGCAAACGTTCTGAGATTATCATGAACTGAGTGAGGTAGTGGCTCCGGAAAAAGCTTCTTCTCTGCCTGTGCAGCAGCAGCTCTCTGCATCTTTTTCAGCAATAATCTCTTGCCGCTCCTCACTCTTCTCATTGTCTGCAAGTCCCCAAACCTCACCAAACCCTTCTCACCCTCTGCAAATGCCCCATTTCCCATCATAGTTCTTTTTGCTTTTTCCCCAAAAGTTGATGATGATGACCTTGTCATCACCATCTTTTCTTCTTCTGTAGCATTTTGACCACATAGAGAAAGCTTGAGAGTAAGGTCTATCTGCTCAGAGTTAGTGTTTGGTTTCTCATAAGGAAATCCCTGCTAAAGAAAAAACTTAGAGTCACTTTCTACTATCTATCATGAATGAATGAAGCAATTTAATCAGCAAAATATATATATAATTATAATTATATTATGGTTTAATTGTCACCTCCATTGAAATCCAAGAGAAAGGTGAAGTTACTGCACAAAACAACTCCCTTGAAGAATGCCTATGAAAGAAAATGGAGAAACAAGTTTAGAGATAAAATTTGGACGAATGAAAACCGCATCCACCACTTCCTCATTTGAGGGGAAAAGAGTCACGAGGATTGTGTACTATATATAACAAAAGAAAATTCAAATGAAATAAAACAGGAAAGTCAAAATCTAGACGCAAGCTCCAATTAGGGACCAAATGTCACATCCACGACTGGAACTGTAGAAACCGAAAACAAAGTAAAAAAAAAAAACACACAATGTTGGGGAATTAGCTCACGGGTTACAGCATAGTACTCACAAAACAGTTGGAAGCAGGACTCACACGCATAGGCACATACTTCAACTGCCATTAGTACGCATCGGCAAACGTCGCCTCACTTCTACAAAACCACGAAGATTTTTAATTGAAAAAAGTACAAAACTTTATTACAATTTCTTATGTTTGATGAAATTTGTGTCAAATATTAAAAAACAACAAATCTAAAAAATTGGACATAAGATGTGTATTTTATTAGCCTGTGTTTCTTTTCAACGATATCAAACTTACCTTAAAGAACTAACATGGCATACCCAAAACTAGTTCATGAGATAATAATTAATAAGATTGTTTATTTTTTTTCCTTATATATATATATATATTATTTTAGTTATGTCATTAATTAAATATAGGACTTTTCCAAAATTATTTTTGTTCAGGAAATCTTATCAGAACCGTCACCGTATTACAACCCAATATAATAACATAGAATGAACTGAGAAGAATTTTTATAAATACATAATTATCTTTTTTTTATCAATTTACTATACTTTTTATTTGTTTGGATATGACAAGATATTTCCTTTATTCTTTCTTCGAAAACATTTTTTCTTGCTAAAAATTAGACATCTTGAGTGTTATAAAATGGTTTAATTAATTATTTGATTTCTACACTGCATCAATTTTTTGTTTTAGTTCCTATATCTAAAAATTCTGTTTTATTTTTGTACAAATATTTTTTTTGATAAATTAGCCCTTATGGCAATATGTAGCAGTTTTACACCAAAAAAAAGGTATTTATATAAGAACTAAAATATATAATCGTTAGATATAAAAACTAGCCAAAATATTGTTAGCTGAACCTTATAAAATTTAGAACTAGAGAGTCACTCATATAAGCTTTTGACAACATCTTAAAATTTGAACACAATCTAAAAAATCTATCTCATTGTAGACTTGTATCTGTATATGTTAATTTCAGCATGTGTCAAGCAAGCATATGCCTTCTTGGCGTGATTTTCCTCGTCGAAGCTTTAACCATTTTTGATATGATCATTTTCTACGTTCCAAACACACACTTTAATGATCCACGTGGAACCTCCATTAATTAAAAAGAAGAAAAAAAGAACAAGGAAGATAAGCTTACAAGGTTTGGCAGTTGGCACAAAGAAGTGGACCTGAGCTGAGAAGAGAGAAGATAAAGAGAGTTATATAATATATTCATGCATGTCATATCTTTAGGGTTAGGGGCTGCGTATACTTATTATAGCTAGAGCGTAGAGAGTGAAATTTATCGAGAATTAACGTATACATTAACTACAAGCGTGTGGTTCAGCGATAAGGATTGATCCACGCTTAAGCAAGGTCAAGGGTACGAATCCTATCTTGTATATGTAGCCGAGCCGCGTTAAATCTTGAGACCAGTATCCCATCCTTTGAAGTGTCTCCAAGAGGAAATTAGTCACCGCTATCGGCGATAGATACTCTAGCAAAAAAAAAAAAAAAAAAAAAAAACC